TGGGTCACAATCAAACCTAATAACAAGTGATTTTGTTGAACGATTGGGTTTAATCAAGAAATCTTTGGATATTCCAATCATAGGAATAAATCAGGTTGTAAATAATATTAAATATGGGTGTACAATCACATTTCATTCTCTATGCAGTAATTTCAAAAGAACTGTTTCATGTTTGGTAATTCCTCAAATAAGTGACTCAATCCCAAATCAGAAGTTAGATGTAGACCATTTGGATATACCACATCACCTGAAGTTGGCTGATCCAGCATTTGCTGAACCAGGAAGAATAGATCTACTTCTCGGTGCAGAATTATTCTACAGTTTGCTGTGTGTTGGTCAGGTATCTCTTGGCAAAGGTAAGCCTACATTACAAAAGACTCGGCTAGGTTGGGTTGTCACAGGTTCGGTTCAGTTTAGCGAACATGATTTTTCAATTGTTAATTGCAAATTTAGCATTGATGGATATTCACTCACAACTGGAGAAATTCTGGAAAATAGAAGAATCCCCACTTTTGGATACTGTCATGTCACTTGAAGATCAAGAATGTGAAAAAATATTCTGTCAGACTACTAAGAGATGTGAAGATAATAAGTTCATTGTTCACATTCCTTTATTAGATTCTCCTACTAAATTGGGAGACTCAAAGAAACCTGCTATCAATCAATTCTTGAAGTTAGAAAAGAGGCTAGCTAAAAATTCCAAATTGCGAGAAATGTATGTGGCCTTCATGAATGAATACTTGCAAATGGGTCATATGTCTGTGTGTCATGAATTTTCAGAAAATCAAATTTCTCACTACTTACCTCATCATGGTGTATTGGACGAGAATAGGGAAACAACAAAGTTGAGGGTTGTGTTTAATGGGTCATTCAAAACAGACACAGGTTATTCTTTGAATGATCTTCAATTCATTGGACCTAAATTACAAGATGATCTTTTTCATATTTTGCTTAGATTCAGACAGCATGCAGTAGTTCTGTGTGCCGACGTGGCTAAAATGTATCGAATGATATGGGTTGACAAAGAATATAGATCACTTCAGAAAATAGTATGGAGGTCTTCACCCTGTGAGGAACTGCTTGAGTATAATTTGAATACGGTCACTTATGGTACTCGATCAGCTCCCTACTTGGCGATTAGATGTTTGAAGCAATTAGGACTGGATCATTTAGATAGATTTCCAGAGGCATCACGATTGATTCTTAATGATTTTTATGTAGATGACATGCTGTCAGGCTGTAACTCATCTGAAGAAGCTATTAACATCTGTCATGTAGTGGATGGTATATTGAAAAGTGGTGGTATGGAACTCAGAAAATGGTTATCAAACGATTCAGAAGTTACTCAATATTTTCAACAGGTTGGAAAATCAATGTTAGGTGGTGATCAAGTTTATTTTGGGGAGAAAGATGTGCACAAAACTCTTGGACTTTATTGGTGTTTTAAACAGGATCATCTAATGTTTTCTATTGGCTTTTCTGAACAATCAACAAGAATCACGAAGAGGTCAATTTTATCAGATGTCTCTAGAATTTTTGATCCTCTTGGTCTGGTAAGTCCATGTGTAATGATAGCGAAAGTTCTACTGCAAAAGTTATGGTGTGAGAAAATGGATTGGGACGAAACATTACCATTAGAATTGAATACACAGTGGCAAAAGTTGCGAGGACAGTTTGTATACTTCAATGAGCTAAAGATTAAAAGACACGTTGTCTGTCCTAATCCTATTCAAATTGATATTCATGGATTTTCTGATGCTTCCATGCAAGCTTATGGAGCATGTATATATTTGAGAAGTATCGGGCTTAATGGAAATACAATGGTTTCATTACTTTGCTCAAAAGTGAAGGTTGCTCCCTTAAAATCACTCACAATTCCTAGGTTGGAACTATGTGCAGCATCATTACTCGTGAAGTTGGTCGAAACCATTAAACAGGCTATGAGTATTCAGTTCAAGAATATTTATCTATGGTCAGATTCTACAATAGTGTTAGGGTGGATTGGTAGGTCTCCTAATACTTTACAAACATTTGTAAGTAACAGGGTGTCTCAGATTCAGAGTTCATCTTTAACTGTGAATTGGAATCACATACGTTCTGAAGACAACCCAGCAGACATATTATCTAGAGGTATGCACCCTGTAAACATCTTAGCTTGTCAAAAATGGTGGACGGGTCCTGATTGGCTCATGATGAGTGAATCAGAATGGCCTGTATCCGATGTACATCCATCAGATGAACTGCCCGAACTGAAAGATTCGACAAAAATTTGTAATTTTGTTACTATGGATGATGAAATTAATTTGGATAGGTTTAGTAATTTGAATCGTCTCAAAAGAATAATAGCCCAATGTTTTAGATGGTTAGACAAAGTTAAAATGAAAAAGAAATTTGAAAATGAACTAATAAGTGTAGATGAATTAAATCGCGCTATGACTGCACTCATTAGAATCACACAAATGAAATCTTTCAAAGATGACATTTTGAAATTAAACAATAATACACTTTCCAACAAAGTTTTGCTCAAACTAAGTCCATTCATTGATAGTAATGGTCTGCTCAGGGTGGGGGGTAGAATGCATTTATCTTCGTTGGAATATTGTACCAAACATCCCATTCTGCTGTCAGCAAAACATAAAGTGACTATTTTATTGTTTGAATTGGAACATAGACGTTTATTACATGCTGGCCCCCAGCTTTTATTGAGTACGATAAGGGAAAACTATTGGGTAATTGGAGGAAGAAACTTAGCTAGGAAAGTATCACATAACTGTATTGTATGTTTTAGAGCGAATCCTAAGCCACTTGATCAAATTATGGGAGTTCTTCCTAAAGCAAGAGTAACACCTTCTTTTCCTTTTCATACTACTGGCATTGATTATGCAGGGCCATTCTATATTAAACACATTCAAGGACGTGGGGCAAAAACCTCAAAGTGTTGGATAAGTCTATTCATTTGTTTCTCAACAAAAGCAATCCACTTAGAAGTGGTAACTGATTTGACAACAGAAGCATTCATTGCATGTTTCCGTAGATTTGTTTCACGAAGAGGTAAACCAGCAGAAGTATTTTCAGATAATGGGTCAAACTTCAAAGGGGCCAACGCAGAATTGAAGCAATTAGGTGAATTTCTTCAAACTCAGTCAATTTCGTTAACATCAACATTCGCGAACGATGGTATTTCTTGGAAATTCATCTCATCTAACTCTCCTAATTTTGGTGGTTTATGGGAGGCTGGAGTCCGTTCTTGCAAACATCATTTGAAAAGAATATTGGGTATAGCGTCCCTGACATATGAAGGTTTTTCAACTTTACTTGCACAAATTGAGGCAGTTCTCAATTCCCGCCCATTATTCCCATTATCCTCAAATCCAAACGATTTGGATGTCCTCACCCCATCCCATTTCCTAATTGGACGGCGCCTCACAACACTACCAGATCCCGATTTAACAAATATCTCTACAAATCGTCTATCCAAATTCCAACACATACAGATGTTGTATCAACACTTTTGGTCCAGATGGTCAAAAGAGTACTTGACGGAGCTGCAGCAACGAACCAAATGGACAAAAGAGAAAGACAATTTAAAAGTTGGACAATTAGTGATTATTAAAGACAACAATTTGTCACCACTTCACTGGCGGTTAGGAAGAGTTATTGCTGTGTTTCCTGGACCTGATGGGAAGATTCGTGTTGCATCAGTAAAAACACAGAATGGAGAACTAACACGTGCCATATCAAAACTGTGTCCCCTGCCACTGGGAGATACTATTTAAAGAAAGCAACCTTTTAGAAGTGAACTTCATGACAATTTTTTCAACTTTTTCATCGAACTATTGTTTCTTCATTTGATTTATTGTTTATATTGAAAAAACATTTCAAGGTGGGGGGAATGTTTGAGCTCTATCTAATGTATGAAGCATTGTCTATATCAAACATTCAGTATTTCATACTGTTGCTATGTAAAATAATAATAAGTTTTGTTTTTCGAATATTGTCAATCAAATTGAATAAAATTGCATTAGAAATGTAATATTTCTGATTATTTCTTATATTTGGAGTTCAAAAGCGGATGATAATCCCAACAATAACAAGTGCTGTTTCAAGACACTCCGGAAATATTCCTGTTTCAAATGAATCATTTATCAACTTAACCAGTATATTATCTAGAATACATTCAGGGAAGATACCAAGCAACTTGGCAGGAATATTATCGACGCCACAGCTGCTTTTGTTTTTGATTTCAGTTAATATATCTCTGATTTCTTCCCTGCATGTTGGGGAGAGAAAGAACGACTGTTGAATATTGAAATGTTTCATATAATCCAGGGGATCCTTCCCCGACTTGATTTTTTTTATAGGTCTTCTGCTATAGATAAGTAAAAAGCATTCAGATCATTTTTCATTTTTTATTTATCAACTAATGAGTAAAGTATTTGAAGTTTTTTGTTCTTGTTCATCATATCTTTAGTATTGTATTTATCCATGTAATTAGGCTGCAATAGCTGTATGGGTGATAAATAAATAAATGAATGAAAAAAATGTCAACACATGGCAACTCTGCTACGGTCTGCCCCTACTTATGAAATTGTGGCGTCAGTTTTTACTTGCGGCCTTGGCGGTAAATTTCTAGCCGTTTGAAAATTACCGTGGCATTATTGATGATTTTAGCACCTAAAAATCAACCAAAAAATTCTTAAAAAATATTGAATTGAAAGGTATTTGAGTGATGATTCTATTTAAGAAATGAAAAAAAAATAGGTCACTCGCCCATTGCGCAACTTTGTCCTTATTAGTCAAGAGACTTTGTATCTCTTATATGGTTACCGAGATCCCAATGATACCTCTCGAATTTAGGCCACCCTGTACAGAAGTTTAATTCTAATACTTATCATTGTTATGTCAGAACCACAAATTATATGTTTACGAGTTTACGATAAGTATTGTTTTTTATAACGTATACTTGAGGTATAACCGCAAAGTAACCATCGGACACTAACCTGATGCGTTGATTATCTTGTCTAGCTGCCTTTCTCTCTCTTTGCGATAGCTGTCTCTATCTTTATCTTGGCACATTCACAGAGGTTAAGGTATATCTTCCCGACAAACTAATCAACTGATTTACAAACAATAAACAATTTGTCGTTCGTCACGCCAGAGATCGCGCTTTAAACCAACAACAAAAATAAATTCCTTCCAAACTAAATACCGTCAGATCATAGCAAGCCATGGTGACGGCAAACGCGATTGTTTCGCGGATTTTGTTCCGGTGGGGATCTTGTACGGCTCACCTTGAATACATATTATATTCTGATTCTGTGCCTTGCCTCAAGATTTTTTTTATCTCCTGCACCTTAGGGTGATGATGATAGTTTCGATAGTTTATTCAAAAACTATCGATACTATCGATCTAGAATTTCGTACGAAAAATATATGTTTGATAAATCAAAGAGATACTTATTTGTATGTCATCAATTTTATTTACATATTTGATATCACAATGACTCCATTGTGTCATTATTTCACTTCATTTTCCATGAAATATTAAATCTCAAGCAATTACAGCTCGATCTAATCAAGCCTAATAGATAAGCATTACTCAAGAGAAAATCAGACGGCTACTAGTCAAAGAAATCAAAAATTTTGCTGTTATCTGTCACAGCCGTAGAAAAAGTATAGTGTATACGTCGCACGGAATTATAATTCAACTGACTATCATTCCGCGTTGTTATTGTTTTCTTTGTTCCAATGTCATAATTTCCATCACTGAAAAAAAAAGATGGTACTTATTACCAAACGTTTAGTAAAATAGGCGCCAGTCACAACTTTCATCAAATGATACAACTACAACATTATATAATACTATACTATATCAATTATCACCACTACAAAATAGTACAATACTCATAGTTTAGTATAGTACATATAATACTACTATATCAATTATTACCACTACAAAATAGTATAATACTCATAGTTCAGTATAGTACAACTTTGTAGTGGTATTATTTGATGAATGTATAGTGACTGGCGCCTATTCTACTAAACGTTTGGTATTCAATACCGACTATTTCTCTGAGTGATTTGAATCTATTCTTCTCGACAAAATGACTTGATTTCTGTACAAAATTTTGGACCGATAGTTTATCGATAGTAGTAAAAAACTATCGATTGTTCCAATAGTACAAAACTATCGATACTATCGATAGCACTGTCTATACTATCGATAGTGCTATCAATAGTTTTCCACCACTACTGATATTCATTGGATCGAAGAAACTCCGCACTGATAGATGCGCTTTTTCGTCGTGACGTCACCAATTTTCTGATGGAATTTATGATGGAGCCGATGCTGCAATGCTGCAAAAACGGATTTCGTTGTATGTCAGTCTGTCATGAATCTTCTGAATTAGAAAAGGCTGATACGACTTTATTGATTAACACTAACTCCATCTTCTAAATTATGTCAAGAATCTCAAAAATACTCAATATTTTTTGTTTCCTATTGAATCAAAATAAAGAACAATACTGAAAATGTGTCAATAATTGTCATGTAAATTTCTTCCAAACCGATAGATTCTCTGAAAGCAAATTGAAAGTGCAACAAAAATGTTATCGATCTCCTCAAAATTTCAGCAGAATTTTGCTACAGTTTGATGGTTTCTTCAATATATGCGCATGACAAAATGTTGGAATGAAAAACGCACCTTCGCACTCACCGACAAAAAACCGACCATGGAAAAAGTTTGCCAAATTTAGCAATGAATTTTCCCAGTTGACACACTTACGTCGAAATAACGTATTATTTACCACAACGGTCGGTTAAAATAACGCAAAAATGTCGCTGACATACACGTTGCTATCAACCAGTACACAAACGTGTTTTGAACTAAGTACTTATTTGAAATCAATTAATTATCCTTCACATAATAATACATGTTTCTAAGAGTAATTTTCTACATATTTTCAACATTATCAGTTCACGATCAAAGTACGTTCCAAGCATTCAAGTACACCAAAATCTATATAAATAGGATAATTCAAAACGATGAAATAAACAATAATTTGGTGTTCCAATATATCATTGTTCTAACATTATTCAAATAGGCTATTTCTGGCAACTATTCTACCGTACATTGTGAAAGTGTCGTTTAATTAAAATAGAATAACGTGTTATAGCTTGAAAGAATCAACGTTTTGCATTAACGTTCAATAGTGGTTGCATGTTCATTATATCTTGGATTGAAGTGTGATCCTTTCTCAACACAATGGTTTTTCATTCACTTCATTATTTTCTTTATGAAAGAAGATACAAGTGTTTTAAGAATGAACCTTCATGAACTCATCGATAAACAACTTAAGGTCGTTCCCTACCTTTATAACGCCCATACCAAATAATGCAATTCAAATTCTACTACAGAATAAAAATGAATCGAGAAAAATATTTGAATTGATACTATATACAGGGTGTTTCATTGGGAAAGGTAAATAATTCAACTGTGGATAGGGGTCACTGGGGTGATTTAAAAAAACAGGATGTAGCAGTAACTTTTCAAATGGGAAACATCCTGTATCTCGGTTAAGTCGAAGACCCATCAACCATGGGTTTTTTGAAATCACCCCAGTGACCCCTATCCACAGTTGAATTATTTACCTTTCCCAAAAATACAGGGTGCTTCAAGATTCAGAATTCTGATCACCCTGTATCTGTTCCAATTAAATGTCAGTAGACAGTGAATCGAAAGTCAAGATAGGGACATGTAAACCGTTTTGATCGATAATGAATAGTTTCGACACAAAAAAATCCTAAAATTGAAAAATTTCGATTTTGAACACCCTTTATCTCTGTAATCATTCCTGCTAGAACCCAAGTGTGATACATTGATGGAATCAGCTGTTCAAGAAGAATCTGAAAATGTAATAAAATACAGGCTGTTCCATTTGAAATAACAAAGTTGCTAACTGTTTCTGATAGAAGTGGCAACACTGTCTCGATGAAAATATTTTAGACGGATAGAGAATGTTCAATTATCGAAGCATCCCAATTTTCAGAATGTTCTGTCTTTTAGTTCTCCAGTTACTTCTAATAGGGCATCCACCGTGAATCACCCTGTATACATCATATTATTTATTATGAATTGTTGGAACAATATTTGATGGAAAATGCGATTTCTATCAAAAGCACTAATGAGAACTACCCTAAAGAATTTGAAAAACTTCTGACAGTTGTGACAACTATTCAAAGCTGAACAGCAGCCAAGTTTTAGTCGATTTTTGTTGAATCTCCATGAAAATGTATATGATGTGGTGTTGGCAAAGTGCCGCGAGAATAGTTATTTGTTTAACTAGGCAGCAAAGTAGTAGATTGACTGCCGAGGCTGAATTCATAGCCGAGCGTAGCGAGGCTAGGAATCCAGCTAAGGCAGTCAATCTACTTTGCTGCCGAGTTGAACATATAATTTTTTCTCCGATTGTTCATGATGATATATATCTCTTCATTTTTTCTGTAGTGTTTAATTAAAATAAAATTTGATAGAAATCGCCGTTGTTGGAATGGTTGGTTGCTATGGAAATGTCCATAATAATTATAGTTTGACAATTCATGAAATTTCTGACAACTGTGCGAAAAAATATCGGTATATTTGAATTATTATATAATGGACAGTGATAGCGACCTGGAAGTACTTACACCTTCAGAAATAAGGAAGGTGGCAAAAAATATTGAGTTGAATTTGTTGCCGGAGAAGTCTCGGATGAAATATGAAGGAAATTATAAACGATTTATGGATTATTAATTTTGCTGATACATATCAATCAGCAAAGGTTCCACTTTGCTGCCTAGGCAGGAAAAGTAATACTTTGCTGATTGATATGTGTCAGCAAAATTAATATTTGCTGCCAATCGGAGAAAAAAAATATTTCTGACAGTATGGGCAGTAGGTACATGGTTTTGAAACTGAGTAAGCTATGAGAAATGCACTACTTTTCATAGCAGTAGTAGAAAATAGTATATTGTGCAACAAGTGGGCATGCAAAGTTTACCATTTCTCACGAGTGTGAAAGTTTGTGGCACGAGCCTGAAGAGCGAGTGATGCAAACACACGAGTGAGAAAAGTAATTTTCCCCACATGTTGCACACTATACTTTTTTCTACTACTGCTATGAAAAGTAGCGAATTTCTCATAGCTTACTTAGTTTCAAAATCATGTATTGCTCATACTGTGAGAAATATTTTTTCTCACGGCACTTTGCCAACACCACATACATTTCCATGAGGAATCAACAAAAATCGACCAAAACTTAATTGGCTGCTGTTCAGCTTTGAATAGTTGTCACAACTGTCAGAAGAAGTTTTCTAAATTCTTTAGGGTAGTTCTCATTAATGCTTTCGATAGAAATCGCAGTATCCATCAAATATTATTCCAACAATTCATAATAAATTATATAATGTATATACCGAGATGTGACGATTTCGATAAATACACCGCCAGAGACATAGGTGATGGAATAAGCAGCGAAAGTTGGATTTGTTTCCGGAAATTTCAAGAAAAAAGTATGGATTGACATATATGAAAAATTTATTGAATCTAAAAAAAATACAGAAATAAAATCTTTTTCGGAAAGTGTACTTTTTTGAAACACTTTGAGGAACTAGGAAAGGCGTCTACTCTTTGATCACAATATCCAATGTGGCATAGTGCCACATTATAAAATGAGTACCAATAAGTTACATTACTTGGATTCTTCGGATAATTGCAGTGAAGAAAAATATCTTTTGGGTCGATTTGTTTGTTTAAACTTTTTCTATGTGGAGGAATGACAGTCGACCAAATCTCTCTTCTTAAAAAAATTGGGGTGGGCTAAAGAATGTTTTGGGATGGGCTTAGCCGACCCCAGCCCTCGGGCCTATGTCGCATTTTTTTACTGAGCACAATGCCCTGCCGAAATACAATTGCACATACGCCACTGTCATATACGACAATTTAATTTTTCCGACTAACGGCTCAATGGTCTAGGGGTATGATTCTCGCTTCGGGTGCGAGAGGTCCCGGGTTCAAATCCCGGTTGAGCCCAGTCTTTTTTTTTATTTCTCACAATCCACGTGAAAATGGATAATGAAATAATGGTCCATTCACTTGAGAACTACTTCATTAAACATTATCAGAATATTCAATGATAGTACGGACGTTCCTACCACCATTTCGAGATATTCTTCACAATATACTTATCTGAACAACTAAATAGAATGATGT